TGGTCTGTTGATGGCGAGGTCATTGTAAGTCCCCTCATATCAAGAGTTCGATTCTACCGTGACGTAGGGGCTCTGAAATTTTAGGCACATAACGCGAGCTCTAATCATGGGGCCAAAAAGCGCATGAGAAGTCAAAATTTGGGCCTCTTCCAAATATCGATTTCCTTATCTAAAAAAAAATGTATGTATGTACGTATGTATTATCTATAGATGTATGTATGTATATATATATATATATATATCACATATATGTATACACACATACAAATCTACATAAAAAGGACATTTACATGCATACGAATTGATTGGTATGAATGTAAATAAATGCCCCTTTTTTGTTTATATGCCTAAACATATAAAATTAAAAGGGGGCATTTTTATTTCTGTGTTTAATTTGTGTGTTCATTCAATTGGTTTTAGTTTAATAACTACTTAAATTGGTAAATTAGATTGTGCAATATACAATTGAATTTATATCTGCATTACGGTGCAGTTTTCGAAATGCTTTTCGACGACCAAATGTCAAGATATCATCATTTTATTTTTTAATTGAAGGCTACATACGTCAGTTAATTGACTAATGGCTAACTGATGGTCAAACGTCGGGCTATCGAAAAAGATGACCTAAATCTTACTGGTTTCGAGCAACGACGTTTTTTTTTTCTTTTGGCATGAACCAATGGCTTGTAATCGTCAGTTATTTAACCAGTAGCTAACCAATGATTATGCTTTCGAAAAAAACTTACAGCCAACACCATTTAATTATATAACCTACAGATAATTGACTGCTAACTAACAATTATGCTTTTAACATAAACTTACTGGTTATATCAATCAATAAGCCATCGAATGATAAAAGCTATCAAAAATGTCGATGTTCCTAGACTGACAAGCCAAAAAGCTACACCCTTTTATTCATCATAAAATCGTATGTTTATTTTAACCAATGATTTTTTTCTATTTACCTACTGCTTTTGACGTAAAAAATAGTTTGAATCTTTACAATGTAATGATAGTGTTAAATGTTTGCTAAGAATGTTGACGTTGATGCAGTCGACTCATAATGGCCATGAATGCCAACACTTGATATTTAGAAATTTGTGATTAATTTTTAGGCTTGGTTTGTAAGAAAATTTCACAACTTTATCCAACTAGCTATATCATCATAAAAATAAGAGCCGATAAAGTGGAAATCTTGAATCGTATTTTATTTATTTAAAGTGTAAAAAGGAATATATTTATTGGTGCTAAATAACAAATCATTAATTTTTAAAAAGTAAATTAGAACAATTAATGACAATAAAAAAGAAATCATGAGTATTGACAAATTTTATAGATGAACAATCATTCCATAATTGATATAAAGAGAGCACAAGTAGTTTTTAGAAGAGAAAACATTTTGTGACTGATAATTTCAACACTTCGCATAGAAACCAATACCATCCACTTCTCTCTTCCTCACTTTAATATGGGGTTCTTATTTTTTTTGCTGCTCCATAGGAGAAAGTCCACAATGCTTTTTTTGAAATGGTAATTGATCAAAACTTGATACTGAGGAAAATCTGAAGAGACTTGGGTCATTCATCCTCCATCCTCCATCCTCCATAGGGAGAGGGTAATAGAACACTTCTCCTTCTATATTGAACATTTCCACTAACTTCATAAATCATTACAAATGATAAGCTTTAAAGCATGGTTGACGTTGGCTAATATATTTGACCCATTGTAATTGGTATGAATTTTGAAATTTTATCTCAATTCCAACTCGAAGCTAGTTGTCACTTAGTTGTAGCACGCATCAATATTTTTGGAGCTCGGATGAAATGATGAGTTGTTGATGAGATGGATGGCTTATTGCCTCAATGAATTGGTCCTTGGCTTAGACATTCTACAAAAGCTACCATTCTTCATATGATGATTGTTGCATCAAACATTCAAGTAATTTGGCCGCTACTTAATAAGTTCGAAATATTAACCTGAAGATATTTACGAGCTATGTAGTATTCAAGTAATTTGGCCGCTACTTAATAAGTTCGGAATATTAACCTGAAGATATTTACGAGCTATGTAGTAAAAGTTTTGGAGCAGGATTTAACCACGATTTTAGCTAAATTTTGAACAAGTTAAATCCTCAAATCTATTGAATCAAGGTTTCTTTCATTTTCGACATAATTCCCATATCTAGTACATTTGACTAGTCTATAAATTTAGTAAATTCTAGAACATGTGAAGAGAAAGAATGACACGAACAGGCTCATCTTTCTCAATTATTTTGGGTAGGGGTAGGAGTAGATCAAGAGGAGAAAAATTGAAGTTTCAGTGGTCGCCGTATGCTGCGGTCCTATCGTTGCCTTCCTAACTAGCTCTAATCTCAATTATATTAGGAGGGTATAAACACAAAGGCAGTGGATTTAGGTGTAACTAGGGGAGGGGGAGACACATCGGTGAGGGTTTCGGGTAAAAGACCGAAGAGTCTTTTTAGGCAAAGCTGGGAGAAGGGGAATTATGTAGGTGAGGGTTTTAGATAATAGAGAATATTGCATTCAAATTTTGTACCATGAGGACTACAATAATATAGGGTCATTTGAAAATTGATGGGTTCGGATTTTTGCAAATTAAAAAAAAAAAAAAAAGAAAAAAGCTATTTTTCCAAATGACCGCCCCAAAATCTTTTCATTCATTATTCTGGAGCAAAAAAATATAAAAAAAATTCAAAGGTAGCCTACAAAAATTTAAGTAGATGTTAATTATGTAAATATACAAGAATCCAGTGATATGTAGTAATCTTAAAATAATAATAATAATAATAATAATAAATCTGAGCAGCAGAGTGAGAATTATATCTGAGTAGCAGCGTGAGAATTATTGCTTGAAGAAAAAAAACAAAATTCTTTAAGCCACCTCAAAATAATCGTGACAAATCATTTTGAACATTCACAATTGTTATGATTTCTTGGTCGAGATTTGCCGGTTCATATAAAATTATGAAGAACTCCGTCATCTTTCCAAAATTTTATATCCAATATATCGATTTTTTAAAATAAAAGAATTTTTTTTATTTGGATTTTCTAAAATCATTTGGACAATTAATTTAAATTAAATTAATTCAAATTTATTCAACATAGTTTAAATTAAGTAAAACTAAACGATTAAATTAGTTTTTATGAAGTTTAAATTTAATGTAATTATATTAAAGAAGGGGCATTTACATGCATCGATTAAATTAGTTTTTATGAAGTTTAAATTTTATGTAATTATATTAAAGAAGGGGCATTTACATGCATACCACCCAATTCCTTTGTTTTTACATATTTAACATCTAAATTTTACTTTCTACTTGAAAAATAAATGAAGAAAAATCATGAAAAAATATAAATTAAATAAATGCAAAAAATTAAATAAAAATAGCTGTGATGTCGGCGTGGCGATTGCACTGATTTTAATTTTTTTTTTTTTGTAATATCGAAATCTTTAATATATATTAAAAAAGTATTTAGTTTTAAAATTTGCCCTAGAAATTATCAAACAATTTATTAAATTCATTGCTAAATAAATTATATTATACTTGATTATTTCAAAGATTTGCTAAATTTGAAATTATTTAATAAATCATAATAAGCAATAACCTAAATCACAGAAGCCGTCAAACATCCGCAGAAAATTAGTTCGTTAAGGAACACGAAACAACCCGTCAACAATGATGTCCGTGTTGCTTCCTGAAATCTTCTTATTAATTTTCATAACGCCAACCAAAATCATCCATTCCTCATAAGTCTCCATGGTCTTTAAGCCAGCTTTCTTCTCCAACAATTTCAGATTTTCCAAGAAGGTTTCCTCTTTCACCCTCATCCCTCCGTTCGAGCTAACGCCAGACGTGTCGAACCAGGGAAATGACACCAAACGAACAACCACGATAGAGCAGCGCATACCACGTTAATGCCGGAAAAACGGTCAGCTCGCAAACAAAAGGGATGAGTTCCTTCGCCCCTATCCTCTTCTCGCTGTAAATATGTAAAAAGATATTGCACGAGAAGGCGACCAGGAGGGAGATCAGCGCCAGGATGAACGATAAAACCGCGAAAAAAAACTTAGTCGGGAGCGATCGCCGAAATTCGGTCTCTTTGTACGACGAGGTAATCAGCGACAAGAACAGAACCAGGGCCGTGGCGGCGCAGGATAATCCGAACACGAATGCGTTCTTGAACACAACAAATGCCGCCCTGCCGTATATATTGCCGCCACCTACTCCGTCGCCGGAGCCAGCAGGAAATTGAAAAGCTCGAAGCAAAGACGAATGCTGCAACGAGGCCCGAACAAGTCTGTCCCAATTGGGTGAGCTGTTTCTTCCCTTTCCTCGCCATCGTTTTGTGCTTCTCTGAGAAGCACTCCTGCGCCGTCTTCTCCTCTGCGTTGCGACTATACCGAAGGTCTCTGGGCATCAATTTCTCAACTTTTTCAAACCATTGCAGGTCTTTCAGCATTTGGAGAGGGCCAGCCACGTCCTCATCGACGGTCACTTCAGCGGCGTAGTGGAGAATCGTGTTGTTCATGTCGTCTCTTGCGTACAGCAGTCGCGAAGGAAGCAGGGGATTTCTGCCTCCAAGTTTCGACGCCACCAAGTCGAAGATTTTCTTGCTTCCGAGCGGGATGGCAACCTGAATTATATTTCTTCCTTGGACGTCGAGGATGTTAATGGACTGCGGGTAGACTTCCAGGATTTTGTTGACGTATTCGTAGAGTCCCAACCTGGCGCCGGTTATTAGCGGCGAGTCGTTCCAGCGCTGAAGAGCAGCGTCGGAGATTTCCTTATCTTTGTCTTCTTCCATTTCAAATGGTTCGTCCAATTCAGGGAGTTCGCGGATGTTGAAACTTCTGCTCTCACCAAATTGGCCTGTCTTCCCCAAGGAGATGAAGCTCCAGTACTCCACATCTCCTGCCAAACAGTCGATGAGTGCCAAGGTTTCCATATGGTGTTTCTTTTGATTCTCTAAATACTTTATTCTGGGGAACACTGCATCATGATAAATTCATGCCGGGATATCAAGATTTATTATTATATTTATCAGTTATTTGAACAATGATTTGTGGAACTCACTGAGCTTTAGGATAACCAAAATGAGCAGTTTCGCCCATCCGGCTGCAATGCAGAACCAAGCCCCGATAATTAATTTACCACGTGAAATGGGAAGTATGATATAATTCATAACATTTGGGGTTCTGGCAACGGATTTAGAGCGGATTTAAGCTAAATCTTGCTCTCATTTTGGACGGAATGAAAGCACTGATTTGATAAATCTTGTCATATGATTTTTCCTTCAGAATTTAGTAAATAACTTAAATCGCATTCGTTGCCAGACAGCTCCTTGAAGATACAGAGGAGTATTCTCTTCAGGCAATAAATAGAAATATTTTTCAATAGATTTTAAAAAGCAGAGTTAGAATTTATATTAATTCATGCCTGCGATTAGAGGCAATTTGAACAGGTTAAACACTGTGCCGTAGTTTGGAGGAGAGCTTGTTTTCTTATGAAGCTGTGGGTTCTCCTCGTCTTGTTGATTCTCAGCTACAGGCTGCACATCTCAATAGCATAATGAAAAATGAAGGATAAAAAATATTAAGAAATCATTATTGACTCTTCTTTTTCTTTTGCTCGAGAAAAAGCCATGAAAGTGAGGCACTCTTAGCTTTTCCATATTACTATTTGTTAAATTCTTTTAGGATGTAAAATCTAGTATTGTTTCATCTTGAATCCATATATGTTGGGAGAGAGACCTTATAAATTGAAGAAAGTGGAAAGCAACAAAGAAAAGAACTTTTTTTTATCTATACATCTCATTGGGTGCCTTTATTTTTGCACGGATACATTAAGGAAAAGAAATAAAGAATTGCTACACCCAAAGTCGTGTTGTATGAAGACAACTAAGAGTTGTATCTAATGGAATACGGTCATCGGTGTCATACGACCCAAAAATTGGAATTGACAGTGATAGATAGGATTTCGCTTCTTTGCATCTCTCATGCAACCTTAAAGGATTTTTTAGTGACCTCGTTCATATAGTTTGGTCAGTATAGGCAAGCTTGGTGAAAGAGCTTGATGTATACAAACGAGCTTGGTGGAAAATCTCGAAGAGTACAGACGACCTCGATTGAGGAGCTTGATGAGTACTAGCGAGCTCACCAAGTCATTCTGAGAGGCGAGTTTTCTAGTAGTGACTTTGGTAGATGTGCTTTGCGAATACAATATGTCTTCAGGTGAGTGATAAGCGGGCTCGATCCATTAGGCCCAAAAGGTCTATTTCGTGTTTGGGCTTTCATAATAGCATGCACATTCTACTTTTATATGCATATTCAGTTCCTCGATTGTCTTAATTCTTCGAACATAAGCTATGCGAAGAATAAGAGAATGAGAAGAAAGTTTGTTAGCTTTGTGCATCATTAGAGAGATGATAGGATCACAACAACTGCTCTGCCCGATTGGGATTCGATAATACACCTATTCATACTCAATCGAAATGGTGCTTTACACCACCAACAGGCTTGAACTTTCCTTCCACTGGGGGCTTTGGAGCTACACCTACGGTTACTAGTAACGATGGCTTTTCAGTTACTGCGGATCGTATCCCATTCAGGTGTCTTCAGTGGTGGATCCAAGTAAGGTTCAAGGAGACAGTTGCCCCCCCTTAAAATTAAAATTTTTTGAAAGGGCAATTTGGTTTTTTTGCTCTTCTGAAATATTACTTTGTCCAATGTTACCCTAACCACTTCCACGTTGAATTTAAGGGGACAGTTTGCTTCCATCAAATAATAGGTTGATTTCGCCCTCGGGTCTTTACTTTTAAGGTAGTGGAAGCTACTAATTCTCTTTTTAGGACCTACCTAGGGTGTAGAATAATTTCTTCTAGTCGGGCTACCCTAGGAGAGAACACATGTTATTGAGTGAGAGGTGATAGAAGTGACTTATCTCCATCACTAAGAGGTCCGTGCTCCAAGGAAGTGAAGAAAGATAGCACATAAAGAAGAGTTTATGACTTCCCTGTTAAGGAGGATACAATGATTTTGATATTTTTCCTTATTAGAGAATAAATGTGATTTTATCAAAAATGGGAGCCATGTGGATATCCTAATGCTCGTTGATATGTTGTTTTTCTATTACAAAAGGAGAATCAGAGTGTCATTAACGATATTTTTGCGATGGTTACAAAAAATATGTTTTAATGACTCACAACTATTATACTAAGGCAAGGGAGATACTTATAATTCTATGAAAGTTGTTAAACAATTATGAAAGCTTCCATGGATGAACCGGGTCTACTTGTACACGGCTTATTAGTTATAAATAATGAGGAGCACTTGTAGGGAAGGGGGGAGGAAAAAAAAATCAGTTTGTTGGAGAAAGAAGAGGATAGCTTGTAGAGAGTGAGGAGAGAATCTTGGAGATCTTGTATCCAGGCGGTTTGAGAGAGAGATAATGTCAAGATGGGAACTCATTTCTCAATGTAAAAGCTATGTAAATCTTCTTTATTGCCTTAGTGGATTTGATGGTTGATTTACCTCCCGTGGATGTAGATCCTATGGATTGAACAGCGTAATTCTTGGATGTTCTTGGTGTTCTTGGTTACATTCTTGTTTTCTTGTTCTGAGTTTTTTAAGCTAGCATTCGGTTCTTTGTGTTACTCGTGGTGAGTTTCTATTGCAGAGGAATTGGTTAGAGGAATTGGTAGTTTCATCTTTCGGCCTGCAGGTGTTAGGCGGTTCTATTATTTTCTTCAACAATCGGCGTCGTCTGTGGGAGTCCTAGCCACGACAATGGGAACCACCAAATTAGACTTTGAAATTCACCGGAAAGAATGATTTCAGCCTGTGGATAGTCAAGATGAGATTCTATTGGTGCAGCAAGGTATCACAAAATCTTTGCAAGGGTCGGTGACATTGCTTGCTGAGATGTCCGAGAAAGAGAAGAACGACTTCCTAGATACTCACCAAGGGCTGAGGGCTCCTTGGGGCTAGATGGAAGAAATCACTATTCAAGATTTTGTAATTGAGAGTCAAAGTGGAGAATTGTTACAATGACTCACAATTATTAGACCGAGGCAAGGGACATACTTGTAATTCTATGAAAGCTGTTAAAGAATTATGGAAGCTTCCATAGAAGAACTGGGTCTATTTGTGTAAGACTCATTAGTTATAAATAATGAGTATCACTTGTAGGGAATGGGGGAGGAAAGAAAATCAGTTTGTTGGAAAAAGAAGAGGATAGCTTGTAGAGAGTGAGGAGAGAATCTTGTAGATCTTGTATCAAGATGGTTTGAGAGAGAGATCATGGCAAAATGAGAGCTCAATTCTCAATGAAAAAGCTATGTAAATCTTCTTTATTGCTTCAATAGATTTGATGGTTGATTTCCCTACCGTTGATTTAGGTCCTATGCACCGAACCACATAATTCTTATGTGTTCTTGGTTACATTCTTGTTTTCTTGTTCAGCGTTCTTTAAGCTAGCATTCGATTCTTTGTGTTGCTTGTGGTGAGTTTCTATTGCAGCGGAATTGGTAGTTTCATCCTTCGGCCTGCAAGTGTTAAGCGATTCTCTTTCATCAACAAAATTATACGTCAACTCAGTGTGTGGTATATAATAATCGTGTGAGCCTTGTCAAAGCCATAAATCAAAACCTATGCCTTCGCATTCCTTTCTTTTCAGAGAGACTTAGTTGATTTTGATATGGTGGAGGAGATGTCAAAAGAAGAGATGGAAATTCATGAAAACAGGTTGACAGTGATCCTACAACAAAATTGACAAAAATGAAAGATCAAGATTTGAAAAGAAAGGATGACGAGGTTGAGAGCTCGAAGACTGTTGAGGGGGAAGAAATATTGGATCATCCTACAAAAAATATTTCGACTGTGATCCTTGTTTTGGGAACTGATTTGAATGAGACAGCCTAAAAAAATGCTAGCACCGCCTGCTCTAAATCCTATCTTTAAGGAACAAGTAACTTGTTGAGAAATTAGGGCGAAGAAAAATAATAATTGACACAAATCCAGAATAACACACAGAGATTTACAAGGTTCGGCAAAGATACCTGCATCCTCAGGAGCAGAGCGACGACTTCCTTTTAATATTTAGAAAAGAGTACAAAATACAAAATTTATAATCTCATAATTTCAGAGGCTCAGAGACTCGCATAAGCTTACAAACATGACATATATATAACAATATAGTACAATATGTAATTACTTAAATTCCCCATGTACCAAACCGCGCGGTGTTGCCCCCACACCCCCAACCCACGTAATGAAACTCCCACGATTCGACAGATTCTTCTGCTCCACTCCGCTCGTGGGCTCTGCTATGCTCCAGCATCTATCACATTTATGGTATATGAGTCATACTTAACAAATCTCCACATTGGCAAATATCCAGCCCTTTTAGGAGAAATACATATATCCAACAAATCTCCATCTTGACGAATATCTTGCCCCTTAAGAGAAATATATCATGGAGTTTCTTATGCACCAATGTGGGTTGGGTCACCACGCTTCCACTCGCTCCCCCCAACCCACTAAATTCCAAGAGACACACCTCTTCAATTCCAAGAGACATCTCTTCATTCCAAGAGACTCCAAATTCTGATATTATGAGTCATACCTAACAAATTTTTACTTTGGCGAATATCCAGCCTTTATAAAAGAAATACATATACGCAACAAATATTTACCTTGACGAATATCCAGCCCCTCCCTTAGGAGAAATACATATGCCTAACAAATCTCCACCTTGGCGAATATTCAGCCCCTTAGGAGAAAATGCATCATGGAGTTTCTTATACACTAATGTGGGTTGGGCCATAAGTCCTTTTAAATAATCTCTTAATTAAGATTCCTTAATTAAGTTTCCCTTAATTAAGTTTCTAAGAAAAAGGAATTTCCCTTGATTAAATTTTCTTTAATTAAACTTTTTGAGAAATCATTTTCTTTAAACTTCCAAGAAAAGCTTCAACTCCGCTTTCCAGAAAAGTTCATTTTTCCTTCCAGAAAAGTTCTGCTTTCCTTCTTAGAAAAGCTTCGTTTCTGCTTTCCTTCCAAAAAAGCTCCACCCCCGCTTTCATTCTAGAAAGAAATCTTTTCTTTCTCGAGTGTAGCAGCAGATTCCATTCCCTTGCCTATTCTGAGTGATGGAAAATCTCTAGAATATCTCTGCGCTAAATTTCCTTTTATGCAGACTTTCCTTTTCATCGTGAATTTCCTTTTTCCTCGTCCGCCATTCCAATTCTGCTCCTCTGCCGCTCGCTTGCTCGAATTTGCCAGTCAAATGGTCGCTGTTCACTGCTTCGCACGAATCCTTCGTCCTCGCGACTCTCCTACTCGTCAAACTACACAGGCAAATCGTCGTGCGAATCTTCTGCTCGCAAACCCCTCGACACTGTAGAATACGCAAACCGCAGAAGAGCAATTCCTCTGCTGAACCGTCCGAAGCCCTAGCCGCCGAATTCCCCGACCAAAATCTTCTTTGTTCTTGCACCGCCAAAATTTTTCTTTCCTGCCCTAGAACTTCACTTTGATACCACTTTTTGAGAAATTAAGGCGAAGAAAAATAGGAATCGACACAAATCCAGAAGAACACACAGAGATTTAACTTGGTTCGGCAAAGATGCCTACATCATCGGGAGGAGAGCGACGACTTTCTTTTCAATATTCATAAAAGAATACAAAATACAGAATTCAACCCACCTAGGGTTACAGACAGAACATATATATAACCCTATAGTATAATATGTAATTACTTAAATTACCCTTGTACCAAACTGTGGAATGTTGCCCCCGCACCCCAAACCCACATAATGAAACTCCCTCGATTGGACATATCCTCCCTCCACTCTGTTCACGAGCTCCACTCCGTTTCAGCATCTGTCTCATTTATGATATATAAGTCATACCTAACATAACTAAAGCCGAAGGTTTTCACATGTGCTCAAATTTTATATCCCTTAGATGGCTGGTAAAAGATCCAACTTTGTGGTTCTCACGGAGCTTTTTGTCCTATGTCTTTTCACATGCTTTGCTTTTATTTCTAAGATTTATGTTTATCCATCTCGATGCATTACTGTAAAGGTATCAGTCGATCAACTGCCTAACCCAACAACTCTCCCTAAGGACGATCCCGTTGATGAAAGAATAGGAGAGATAATGGAACACACTATAGGCTTGACGATTGGAACAATATCGCCTACAGGCGAGCTCATAACTGAATATAATATAAGTCACTTGGTAATGTTTGGCTCAGTGATACCATGATTATGAGTGCTAGAGTTTAGAGTTCACGTGTGAACTTGTTATAATGGATCTCAATATTGATGATGAAAGGACTTTTGGGGCGGAGCTCAAAGTCTTTGAAGGAGTATCAGCAGAGGATGAGCCGATGATCAATGTTGAAATCCAACAGTCGGTGACAGCAGTCGTATTTGTTTCTTAGGTTGTTCAATCTCCCAAACATAGAAGGACCTTA